CCCCCCTGTGCTGGGTTGTTTTTTTTTGCATTGTTTTTAAGTTTTGTTCTAGGTTATTGTAATTGGACAGTGAGCCACCCTTCATTTTTGTATTGTGTTATTTTTATTATAAAACCATAAGTCTAAATGAAGTCAGAATTATCAAGATGCCCCCTTTTGCCCAACATTACCCTACACTATTTTTATAAGATAGAAAATCATGCTTGAAAATTAAATTATTGTGTTATATTTTACAGGTTATTTGTCAAATACTTTACCGTGTTAATTTTTCTACTAATACATTTCAATATATACTTCAATCAACTCTGCCATTTACCGAATGTATTCATAAATTTTCAATTCTTGTATCTACTATTGGTGTATTATTATCAATGATTCAATGTGAAATTGATGAAGGTTGGTCTTGAAATGGAATTTATATAATGTGCACAAATTATTATGATATATCTTTTAATAAATTATTTCAGACAGTAAACATATAGAATCTTCTAATACATTATTAAGTGATCTATTTACAAAAGCACTTATTTCCGATCAAAACTTTTCTATAAATTCATTGGATTTTATAATTTTACCTCCAACTGAAGAAGATGAACCATTTTCTTTGAAGTCATGTATGTATAAGTATTTTACTTTATATTTACTACTATAGGTATTTAAGTAAGGATTATAATAATTCTAACTAGAATTTTTAAAAATTAATTACTTTTTATTTTTAATGATTAGATGAGTCATATTTTACTAATGAAGAACTACTAAAAGTAAGTGACGTTTATCATCATTTAGTTTGGTATATGAATCATCAAAAATCTTCAATTTCTGGAATTAATGATGAAGATATTTGTCTTTTGTGTTACTCTAACAAAAAAAATGTTGTTATAATGCCATGCAAACATCAATGTTGCAAGTATGTTATTCTCAAAATATGATCAGTTTTACGACCTTTTATTTCTCGAACTTAACATGATACAGAGGGTAGCATATTAGGGACTTTCATATCTTAGGGAGTCAAAGATGGTTCTTTGATAGATCCATGATGGACGGGACGTGTATTATACATAAAATTTCACATTGAATCCACAGCAGTAATGCATTGTCTTTAGTAACATGATTCTTTTATTAAATTTACTATAAAAATAGATCTTTTATTCATTTTGTTTGGATTTACAAATTATTGATGCTAATAATATAACAATAATATCTTTAAAGAAATATGTACATCTCGTAGTGGAGCTTACTTGTTTCATTTAACTATTTTTAATTTTTTTTTTTTTAGATTGTGTATCAATCACCATCTTCTTTACTCTACAGTTTGTTTTTATTGTAAGGGACCTATTGAAATGGTAGTAGATTACAAAGATTCTTCTAAAGTGTTACATGATTTTACAAGTAATATTCGAACTTCCGAATAAAAAAAACATATTTATATTGATTTGTTATATTTTTTTAACAGATTATCTTTTATTATTTTTGTTTTGTTTTTATTGTTATTATTCAAAATAAAATATCGCTTATAATTTTTTGAAAAAAATACTTTATGTATAATTAACTACATTTGTATAAAATATTATATCAACTATTACTAGAAGAAAAGATTTTTGTAAGTTGTTATTGTAGAAGAGAAAATAAGGATTGAAATTAATAACAATTTAATGACTATTTCGTTTTTGCTCATCAATTTTTTTAGAATAAATTTTATTACAACAAAAAATTATCATTCAATTTTTAAACAGTAATGATCATGGCATGATCATTATTTATTTAAAAGTCCAATCATTATTCAAATCGAATGATTTTTTAAACAGATAAATAAATCTGTGTATAAATATACAGAATGATTTATTAAGCATACTATTACCATTTTTCGTTAAATAATAATTTTTTTTATAAAAATTTACATATTAAAATTTATTGTTTTTTTTTTTATAAAGTGTAAAAATTACCGTAAGAAAAAATATTTTCTAAGAGTAGATTTTAGGGATAATAATAATAATATTAATATTTAATGAAGAATCATAGAGTAATATTACTCGTATGTGAATATTATATTATTATAATGTATGTCACATTTTATGATTATACAAAATCACCAAAACAGGGCTCTCTTATTTAAAATACAAAATAACCAGTTAATTATGGGATAAAATCTACTTATTGTAGAGATTAAGGAACGTCTACACGCAGGGCCTTCATTATAATTAACCAATTAGAATAGAAAGCCTTAGCTTCCATGATCATGCTAGGGATCGGTGGGCTACCCCCTTCAGACTATAAAAAGCAATTTTTCCCCGTCTAAACCAGTTCTTTCGGCGATTTTAAAATACACAATATCTTCGACACTATTCAAGATCTCACTCTCCGGGACTTAATCGTTTTTTAATTAATTTGGTCTTAAAATATTTTTCTTTAAAACTAAATGACACTTAGAAATTTTAAAGTGAATTTTGTTTTGGTCAATTTTTTAATTTAATTTAATGTGTTCATTAAATAATAATGTTTTATTTTTCATACTGTGGAAATAAATATCAAATAATATTTTAAACATTAAATCTTTTTTTTTAATTACTTTATTTTAATAAAAAAATCCAACCCAACTTTAAATTTTTATTTAATAGTAAAAATCTATTGTGAGCTTTTCTTATTGGGTAGCTAGTCTCATCGCTAATTTCTTTGTTTTAACAAACATCGTGCTGGCAGACAATGCAAAGAATCTTGTATATTTGCAGTGTTAAATTTTTGTCTTGGTGATTATTGTGCTGCATCCTTTCAATGCGCTAGCGCTGGAATACATTGGGCCACCATAATTACGCCTTGATAAATTTTTTACATAGATATAAATATTCTTGAATCTTGTTTTGGTCAGGCCAAAGGAAGATTTAAGAAATATTGATGTCGATCTCTCAATAAAATATACTCTCTCGAAAAAAAATAATTATTCAACAAACGTAAAAAGTTAATAAGGACAAATTATAAATTATACTTCTAATAAAATGTTGAGTGTTTAAAATCTTTTAAAAGTAAGATCAGTCATAGACTTTGTGTAATTAAATCATATTTTTTTAAATTTTGAATCATTTTTGTAAATAATCATATTAACTATATGACATATAGTGTAAATCGTATACGTAGTGCATTTAATACCAAAATCAACATTGGATTAATTGAAATATTATTGCATTACATAGGACGTAAGGTAAGTACAATTTAACCTATGCTTTCGAACCTCCAACAATCTATTGCGTAATAAACCATTAATAATTAATAAAAGAAACAATTCGTATGTCATCGTCTAGGGCCTTGAGACTAGACTGTCATGACGCATTCACCTCACCACACGCCGGTAACACTATTCTTGTATAAATTTATTTTTGATTATCGTACCCGTACACACGTGCGTTTCATCAATTTATATATAAACAAATTTTTATTATTTATTGTTAGATATAAACATTTAAAATTCAAATTTGTTTGAGTTAATATACATGTATAATACATAAGGGATTACAAATACAGGTAGCTAATTGGTTTTTATGACGATATTTGCAGGTATATAGCCTTTACTATCAATGTTAATAAGACACATTGTTGTGAATTTATTAACACACTAACTTGCAATACAGAAATTATATCTATAGTGATAATTGACAATAATAACTCCGTGACTGTAACAGCGATGTCATAAAAGACTAAAAAGTGAAAAATAAATATAGTTTAAAAAAAGACGTTTTCAAAAGTGTCGGGCATCTAATTTACGAAAAATATGTCACAAAGCGTCCACGATTTTTTTTCACAATAATACTAGTATTTTTCGTTCATAATTGTTTTAAGCTTATTTAAAAAATTAATTTTAACTTTTTAGTTCGATGTGCTTTAAAAGCGTGTTTTTTTTAACTATATTACTTAAGAGCACAATTATGAATAATAGGGTATTCGTATTGTATGAACATACAAATTAACTATCTACGGTGTGTAGTATTACGTAGAACCGGTTAAGACAATACATGAGATTGCAGGTTAGAGAGAATACTCACTGATATTTAAAAAACACAGAAACGTTAAAAATGTACTGACAACAGCAACAGCGGCTAATAACAATGGTACAAGTGGGTATTGCACCATATCCAGTATTACCAACTAGAGGTGAACATGTACTGGATTGATAATTCTTTTAACAGGCTCAAATAGAAATATTAGTATTTGAAGGTTTTGACGCTCTATTTTTACCATAACGTACAGATTATTATTTGTACTCTACTCGCCAATAACTAAAAATTATAACAAGATTAAAAAAAAATAGACTTATTTATTCTACTATGCATTTTACTGGAAAAACGGCTGACGTTTCGAGGCATTATCAAAAATTCATTTTAAATCCCCCCCTGTGAGCAGGTAAAGGGTCAGATTTATAAAAAAAATATACTCAATGAAAGGCTAAGACATCACGCATCTATACAAAAAAAATCATATTGATCCATACATTTTTTAAAAAGTTATTGCATGATAAAGTTAAAAATATAAAAAAGAATTTTTTTCAAAAAACGTATTTTTTTAATTAACTTTGATGTCTGTTTTCACCGTGAAGACAAAATAAAGTCCGAATTTTTTTTTTTTTACAATACATTATCATCATGCAAAAAAGGCTAAACTTTATCCAACACTCTAAGTAATTACTACTTCCTACGTAAAACTTTTTTATAAATGTATATTTGAAAGAGTTTTCTTTTTTAAAAGTTATATTACTAGCTCAACCTCAACGATTTTTGTTTTTGCTACTACTACTAAAATCACATATCCATTAAAAATCTTGAAAGTTCTAAGAAGCTAATATTTTTATGTTTTTTTTTGCTCTTCCAATTAAAAGTGGAAAATTGGCTAATGTGACTAAATATGACTAAAGGGTAAATTAGTTCTATGCAAAGCTCCCATTAATAACTCAATATGTGTCTATAAAAACTGTATAATTAAAAATGAACAGTTGATAGCTAATCCGTTACGTAATTTTATTGGTTTTAATTCTTTTTTTCCAACTGCAAATATTGGATTAATAAAATAAACAACCCATAATACACTGATATCTTACATATTGGTCGATATTTAATATCAGCACAATCTTAAAAAATATTTTATCAATATTAATGATGTTAATTTTCTGAAAAATGTAGTTTTTTTTTCTAATATTTGTTTTATAATTATTCAGAATAAAGTATTCTCGGTGTACTTCATATACATCACCATAGCAACAAACTTCGCGTTTTTATTTTTAATCATTATCAGTTTTTATTGATCAAGCCGTACAGAAATAACAACATAAGAATGTTATCGTATAAAATTTTAATTAGTATTGGTTAATTATTTTTTAAAAGATGAATAGAAAAAAACTAGGAAAAAAATTGAAATCAGAAGACCTAAACCAACCAAATCGGTATTGTTATATCATACACAAATATTAATATATTTATTTATCAAAATTTGTATACTTAATTTAATTTTAATTTAAATAATCAATATTTAAAAAATACTTTTTCTAAAAAATTAATTGTAACGTATATAATTCTATCTTCATGACAAATTTACTATGTTTGAACATTATTATTTCATTTATTTGTAAATAAAGTATAAGAGTTTTTATCTTCTAATTATTCATTTTAGCGTACATGAAACTAAAAATTTACATACGTGCTTGTTATATAGTTCATGTATAATTAAAGTCTAAATTTACGTAACGTCTAGTATGCATAATGGAAACAAAAGGTCTAACGTATGCTCTAAGTCTACAAGAGAGACATATAATCTATTAGTTTTTATGACATAGTGTCTACACAAGGAACATTCATGTTCCTCTTTGCGAACACTCACAATTTTACTTCACACAATTATAGTTCGCATACCAAAAAAATGTTCATTTTACCAAGTTTATAATATTTTATAGAATTACAAAATGTTTACTTAAAGAAATATGCAAACAACAAGATTTGTATACAATACCTTCACACAACGATGTTTTGTATTTACACTTCAAAGGTAAATAAAATGACATTGATTTGAAGTAATAATTTATTTTTAATCAAGTTATCATATATTATAAAGGTTTCCAGGAAATTGAAAATTTAGAAGAGTATACTGGACTTAAGTGTTTATGGTTGGAAAATAATTGTTTAAGTAAAATTTCAGGGTTGGAAAATCAAACAGAACTTATTAGTATATACCTTCATCATAATGGTCTTATGAAAATTGAAAATCTAGATTGTCTGCAAAAATTAAATACTATTAATTTGAGTTACAATTTCATTAGAAAAATTGAAAACCTAAGTAATAATTTTCCATTTGGATAGTACAAAAATATATGTTTTATTCTAATAACATTTTACAGGTATTCTACCTGGACTTAGTTCTTTGTTTATAAGTCACAATAAACTTTCTACTGCTGATGACATTTCTCATTTAACTGAATGCAAATGTTTGTCAATTGTTGATCTGTCACATAATAGCTTGGATGATCCCGAAATAGTCGAAGTATAATATTTTAATCTTTGTGTTTGGTTAGTTATTCAAAATTATATTATATTATTCTAATTGTTTTATTTATAGATATTCTCAAAAATGGAATGTTTAAAAGTATTAACACTAACCGGAAACGGCGCTATTCCTAAAATAAAAAACTATAGAAAAACATTAATATTAAAATGTGTAAGTTTTCCAAATTTTTGCATTATTTGGGTATTATTTTAGAACTAACTAGTAAAAATACAAATTAGGATGAAAATATATTTTTGTATTATAGCTCTTTTATAAAAAAAAAAATTAATACTTCACATTAAAAACAAAACAAATAAAAATCCACATAAATTATGTTCTTTTTTATTGTAGAAAGATCTACGTCACTTGGATGATAGACCAGTATTTTTTAAGGATCGAGCTTGTGCAGAAGCATGGTAATTATTAATAATACAATTGTAAGAATAAACACTTCCTAGTTTTTAGTCAAAATTTTGATAAAAAATAATTTTCAACGAGTTTCAACATTAAAAGTCTTATGCGTTTAATATTATAGATTTATTATAGAGTAAGTAGTTGGGGAAATACAACGGGTAGTAATTGGAAATCACTCAAGTCTTATGAATCAAAAATGATTGCTTAAAATTTTAAATGTATTCCCTGCATACCACAAGTGTCGCGCCTATAATAAATGGAAAATATCGTGCAATTAGCTAAACTAAAATAAATAATTCAGTAATTGTTCTTATGATAAAAATTGTGTGATTAAAAATCACTGTAATTTGTTTGTTCTTGTGCAAAAATCAAAGGTGTAACCATGCGGTGTCGAGTATACTTCGAAAAATAAACTTTCTACTAAATGGCTTACTTTATATTTAATTGTCAAATCAGTTTTAATTCAATTTGTTATAACATCAGCCCTTATCCTCACCGTTTCGGGATCGATTCTCATATACCCACAAAACTTTTTACATCAATTTTACAAACTGTTCTTCAAAATTAACAATAGTAATAAAAGATATTTATGGAGATATATTTTAATACTACTTATTAAAAGTAATAAAAAAAAAATTTAAACATATCATTAATTTTTGAACATTTAATTTAACTAGTTTTTTTTGTACAGGAGTGAAGGTGGAATCGAAGCTGAACAAGCCATGAGGATAAAGTTAAATCAAGAGGAACAGCAAAGAATAAACGACTCTGTTGAAGCATTAATAAAATTACGAGACATTGGACATCAAAGTAAAAATTTAACGAGCAAAACCTTGGACCAAAGTGCAGGAGATAATATTACTGTAAACAACTTGATTTCTTCTGAAGAGTTTTATAAAAATTACGAAGAAGAAAGTAGCGATTCTTCAGATGAATCGTCTGAAAATTCTTTCTGTAAAGGTCCACTAGTTCAAGAAGTTTGTAGTGAAAGTGAAGTAAACGAGAGTTTAGAAGAAAAAGATTGTACGGCGAATGATTTATGTCATACCATAGTAAATTCGTTAGTTGACAAATGTTATGACAATAAACTAACAAAGATCTCTAATGACATCTCAATTGACAAAACTTCACAACAAAAAAGTGAAAAGAGACTTAATTTGACTGATAAACATGAAGAAACATTAATTCTAGATCAATGTAAAATTGCTATCAGTGATAAAAATGATACTGTCGTCGATTGTAATCGGATAGAAAATAATAACGAATGTTGTTCAATTGACAAGCTAACACTAAGAGAACTTAGCGACTATAGTTGTACCGAAAGTTCAATGGACATATGCTGTAATAAAACCGAACAAGATGACAGTGAATTCGGTCAAGTTGAACATAATATTGAAAACGAAACTGCACCAGTGAATTGCATTTCAAATTTATTTCACGCTTCAAAATCTTCACAAATTGAAGAAATGCTCGTGAAATTACCATGGAAAAACAGTCAAAATGAAACAGATTTCATCAAATTGTCAATGAAACAAAGTCATGATACTGACGATAAAATAGAGCAAGAAACTCGTAAAATCAGACCTTTAATTCAAGAACTATAAATAATGTTTTTTTTACCTTTTATTTGATTTTCTTATTATTTATTTTTTTATTCAATCTTTATGCGTTGTATAAACTAATGTAATGTACTTATAGATGATATTATTAGAGGAATGTCTTCAACATTAATATTATATTTTATAGTTGGAAAATTCTCATGAAGTTTTATTTTAATTTTATGAAAATTCTGTAATATTTGACTTGAAAATATAATTCTGTAACACTTTTAAGATCTGATACTTAAGGGTACTTAAATATTCTTTAATAGATTTAAATGATACATCTATGGAAATCGTATATCTAATATTTTAAAAATGTATAACTATTTAACAATATTAAGTTAGATTATTACTAAAACACATTAAGTTAAGACTATGAAGTGAATCATTTTATTGCTATTATGTAATAAATGAATGTACATTATTAAATGTAATTTTAATGGTACTATACGAGTTAACCATTTTGAAATCCAATATTATTTTACGTCGTAATACAGACAAAAAATGCAGATAAATTTAAAATGTATATACCTCAATAAACTTGTATGAATTTGTAAAATATTTACAAATGAATTAAGTCTTTAAGATCTTAACTGACTCAACTATAAACCTTTTCTCCTATAACACTACTAAGGGGTATCTCTATGGACTGTTTGCCGTAACCTAATAGAGTTGTAACACTGAGAGTACTCGTCTATTACCAGCACAAATTATACTTTAGATTACTACTAATGACGTGTCGTTTAGAGTTCCAGCTGTATTATAAAGGGACACTCTTTGTGCCTTAACTTATAGTAATAAAAGTTCAATAATAAGTCAAACGTAATTATTAAAGATATAATTAAACAATATGAAGTGTACAAAACAAAGATACTTAAAGTACAATAAATCAATGAACAAAAGAAAAGACTTATTGTCAAAAACGTAGAACACGAAAAGAGATTAACCCACGGTGCTTCAGTGGTACTCTCCCCTTTACAATTTATTCCATTTTGTCTAATATACTAAAACATTTTGTTTTTCTTCTTTTTACGAATACAAAATTAATAACACAATCATTTTCAAAAATGTTTATAAATATTTACTTCATGGTCTAGTAACAATAGATCAGGAAATTACAATTAAACCAAATATTACAAAAATGTTTTTCTTCAGGCTTTATAAATAATAGACTATATTTCAATACCTTTCCATTATGAATTTTTAATATTACCTCTACAGAGGTATATTAACTGTTTATTTTATAATAAAATATTTCAGTATTTTAAGTATTTTAAGTATCAAATTTTTAGTTTTTCTTTAATTTGTATTCCTATTATAATTTATATTTATATGATTGTTACATATAATTATTTTTCAAGTAAACATTGTTTACTTAACCATGTGACCTTGGCTACTATTATTTAAAATAAAAATATACAATCTATCTTAAAATTTTGAAACTGTATTTTAATCAACGTATTTATATTTTAAAACAACTTATTTACTGTACAAAATTTAGTTAAAATTGAAATGAAAAAGAATTCGGAGAATAGTAATACCCTTATGGTATTAGAACGTCGTGGTTATTTGCTTGGGAAAACCATAGGCGAGGGCACGTTTGCAAAAGTCAAGGTACTTGTCTCTAGAAAAATTAAAAATTATTTATTTAAATGAATTTGCTCATAAATATCATCGCAAATTCATACTAGAGTAGTTACCTGTCCTGAATATCTAGTTGGCAATATGCACAAAGAGAAATCAAAATGTGGCCGTCAAAATATTGTCAAAAAAAAACTGCAACTTTTATAATAAGGACGACAGAACTACGTGGATGATAAAAAGAGAGGTATATACGGTCAAAGGACTAAAACATCCAAATATAGTAAGATACTATGAAGCTATCGAGACTACGACGAGGTATTACAGTTTCACTCAAAACTATTTAATAGATACACTAATATTTTATCTATTTAATTAACCTAGTTAATTTATATATTATATAAATTAACATTATTTAAATCATATTTTAGTAATTGATCTGTTTACATTTCTTTAATAAAATATGAGTTTAAAAGCTCTCATTTTTAATAATCTAAATCCCTAAGCTTTATTAGTGAATTTTCGTATAAATAATTACTCAACGAATCGAGTGCATATTTTTAAAATATGCTTGAATGTGTGTTTTGAAACTATAAAGGTTAAATATAAACGCATTTATTAAGAATCTCAAGAAAAATATCTTCTTTTATAAAAACAATTAAAGGAATATATGAAATACTAAAGAAAATTTCATCGACAATATTTTCAATAATATAAATTTAATTTTAGGGTTTGCATTGTTATGGAATACATGAGCAAAGGAAGTCTTTTGGATTTACTTAGAAGAGAATTCTATGTGTCTGAAGAGACAGCACGAAAATGGTATGGTCAGATTTTGGACGCTTTGTCATACATACACAAACGTGGTATTGTTCATAGGTAAGTATATTCAGAACTAACGTGAAGGAAATGCGACCCTGGTGATCGCGTACAACACCAAAAAGCGCCCAAAAAAGGGTTGATCTAGTATGACTTTTTATCTCACAACAGCTCTGTGTGAAAGAAACGATTTTTTTCAATTTATACAAAAGTTTTTTTATTAATTTTATAGTATGGTTATGTACACCTTGAAAATCATTATAAATTAAAATAATATGTATATAGTGACTGCCTTTACTGAAAAAATTCCTCCGTTAAAAAAAAAAATATTGGACGTATATTGATAAAAGATATGTTGACTTTACTGAGGAGTATTTTCAGTATTATGATACACATTTTGTTACGTTTAAGTTGTATCACTGATTGAAGTAAGTAGATCAAATTTAGTGATAAACTTTGAAATTACACTCAGAGACGTGAAATGTGAGAACGTTATGTTAGACGATTCAGGACGAAATGTGAAGTTAGTGGATTTCGGCTTAGCTAGAAACAAGATGTTGGATTCAAATAATCAAATAATAGAAAGTTCAACGTTTTGTGGCAGTTATGCTTACTCGTCACCTGAGTTGTTGCGTATGCTACCACATAGACAAAATATGTCTGATTTGTGGGCTGCAACTGTAGTGTGTTATGCTATGCTATGCGGACAATTGCCTTTCCGGGATGAATATATAAACATTGAATTACAAGTAATTATTTATCACTGTAATGGGGTTAATTTTGAGCTGAACAATATTTATTTGATAGAGACATTCCAATTTAGGGGAATATGAGGGAGTGGCATGTGTGCACTTAAAGAAAATCTACTGTAAACTATCATTTATTCGTACAGTCTCCGAACTAAAATTTATTTAATTACTTACTTTTTGATAATCAACTGTAAAATGTATAGAAATTTAGTTGAAGTATTTAAAAAAAGAAATTTTTTTAAACAATTCATGTTTATTGTTTCAAAGATAAAATCATCACCAACTGTTTTACATAGATATGTTTAATGATATGTCACATAAAAGAACTCCCAAAGAACAAATTCTTCAACTCCCTCGATCAACTCCCTTTTTGAGTTTCAAAAATTATTTGGAATCGTTCAACTCGAAATGAAGAGAAATTACATATTTAAAAGTATATTAATTAATTTTGGGATTTTAATATTATATGGTCAAATTTGTAGTTGAGGTTTTAAAAGCTATTTAATAATACTATGGTTTTCAAAATTATTAATAAATTTAAAAAAAAAATTCAATATAGGTCAACTAAATTACTAGATGTGGTAAAAATGTTTGAAAATGAGATCATTTTGTTTCTGCCCTGTTTAGCAATAAAAAAATGAAAATAAAAAATAAAAAACATTTCCCCGTGTTACACTATAATAGGTAGATTTCAATTTTAACGGAAATCAAAGTTGTCGCATTCTAATTTTACTACATTTTGTTAAAGTAGATTTTTACTAGTTATAGTTGGAATGTGTTAAGGCAGTTTTGAAGTCAAATAGTAATAAAACTATCCAAGTCTTTTGATTTATTTTGACGTTTTAAGCTCTTTGCATAGTTTATCTTTAGAGTTATACAATTAATTTAAAATACAGCATAAAACTGATGAGATATGTTTAATATACTGTCTTACTAGGATATAGAACGAGGTGTCAAATTTCCTCCTAAGCCAAAAATATCAAAAAAATGCAAAAAACTCTTAATGCGAATATTTGTACCCTTGGAACACAGACTTACTTTAGAACAAGTAAAAGCAGACTATTGGATGCGGAAAAAATATAAAAGTCTTTGGACAAGACCAATAACCTCAGAATTTTGAAGACTCAATATAAATGTTTTACCTAACGGTTAAAAAGAATTGTAAATTAATATTTTAAACTGTCTTTAACAATTTTTGCTGAGTAAAATTTAGATTGTTATTATAGATAAACGGTGTTTATTTATTATAAAATATAATGGACAAGAGCTCTTTGTTTTTATAAATCATTGATAGACAATTCAAGTTTAATTCCCCCAAAAACTAAAAAAATATATGATTTAAGTACAATGTACAGGATGTAAGAAAATTTACTCTTATGGAAAATCTCTTCCTCAAAATAGAATTTTAAACATATCTCTGTGATATATTACTGTAGTTATTGCTAACTCAGAGTCGCACTGTTCTCGGTACAAAGTCTATTATACTTACTAAAATTAAATTTGGAAATTATGCTCCTCAACAACTATATGGTGTTCTAACACCTACTATCAAATATTCTATAATTTTAATCGGTAATTTTTTAATTTACTGAGTTGCTACCAAAAAAAAGGTAGTTTCAATTGGTAGCATGTACAATAGGGTGACCGTTAATTATGAACTTTTAAAATTGCATAGTGCCACCCCTTAGAATGTTCGAATACCCAAATAAAAATAATTGTGTGAAAATTGGTGATGATTGTCAAACTTTAAGGCGTGCCCCAAGAAAGATAAAAATGATACTCTAAGAGTAGATTTTTAGTGTTTTTTGGTCTATCTCAAAAACATTAACTTTAATGGAAAAGTTCATAGAAACTTTTTTGTATATATAATATTTTTCTATATAAAAAAAAAAATGTTTATGGGCTTACAAAAAAGTCATTCACAAGATAAAGTTATTGTTTATTATTTATAAACATTTTATTACATGTTTTTATCTGGTATACTCCAAAAGAAAGATGGAAAACTTCTTATTTCATTATCAGGAAAACAACTAGTTGAAAGTTTACCAAAAATTATGTCATATAATAATGTAGAACAACTAATTGAAAACTGGAGTTTAACTGAAAAAGTAAAATCATTATGTTGTAATACAACAGTTTCTAATAAAGATAGACTTAAAGGTGCCTGAATATTATTGGAGCAAATGTTGGGGCGTAATATTTTGTATTTACAGTGTAGATTAAAATTTTACATTTTTAAAATTCTATTAAACAATTTTTTGAAATCAAATTTAATTCATCATCTACTCCAGATGTTCCTATATTCAATAAATTTCAAAAGTCTTGATAAAATTATTTAAGTGGAATGGAAGATATTATTGTTTTAGAATAGTTAGAAATAATAAAAGATGATATTTTGAAATTTAGTTTTGATCCAATACCAATCTAGAGATGACAATTATAAACTTTTATAACTGGTCATAATATTTTTTGGTGAAACATCCCTGAATGCGATTTATTTTAGACTTCCTGGGTCTATTCATCATGTTCGTTGGATGGCCAAGGCCCTTTATGGTTTCAAAATATTTTTGTTTAGAGATAATTTTTATTTCATTTAGATTCAGTTACTTCAATGAATATTGTTAGCACGAGTCATTATATAATATTGTATCTTTATCTTTGTTTATCTGACAGCAATGCGTCTGTTGTAGCATAGGTTTAATCATTGTACGTTCCACCGCTGAACCATCGGCGACGCGCTCATTGTCATAATTGTGTTTAAATATTTTTATTTAAGTTTTAATTATACATAAAAAAAAAACAAATATTTTGTAAAAATTATTCATTTTGTTTAAATTTAATGTTTATTACATTGATCTCAAAATTATAAAATATCAAAGAAATTATTCATAAGTGAGCGTTCGATTTAAAACCAATAATAATCCCGCTTCAAAACATTTCTGGTTCATCGATCCGCATATACTATTAGTATTAAATTTCGAGTACGAAAAGTGCGTATTTGCATAAAGTTTGTGTAGTGCATTTTACTTGTTTAAATATAAATGTTTAAATTAAGCTAAAAATGATATTGGGTTTTCTTTGGCCATAAGCAACACAATGGCCGAACAACCAGCTGTAGAGAATACAGCATTGTATGGTAGGCGAGGTACAATCAAAGGTCAACTGACAAGGTTTGTTATTTTCGTGTCTGCAGCAGCACCAAAAGGTGGGGATAGGACTTCACTTAATGTCCGCCGAAAAAGAATTTTAGAAGCTTGGAATGAATTTATAAAAAACAGGCTGAAGTTGAAGAATTCAGAGATCCAGAAGATCCATACAGAATTCAGTTTGAAAAAATGTACTTTGAGACAGTATCAGAATATGAACGAATATTGGCGAGTGATCGAGCAGAAATGGAAGAAATAAATAACATGGTAAATATTGAAACACATCATAGCCACCCATAATGACGTCAACGCTAACAAACAGTTGTGTATCTAATCAGTCATCATATGTAAAATTAGCTCCATTAAGTGTACCTATACTTAGCGGCAGCTATAAAGAGTGGTCAACAATCAATGATATCTTTAATGCGTTGATTAACGAGAACGAAGCGTTTACTGATGTACAAAGGTTTTTTTTATATCAAAGCAGCTTTATCGGGCGACGCATTAAAGGTAATAAAATGCTTTGAAAAATCAGCAACAAATTATAAGATAGTATGGGATAGTTTGACACAACAGGTTGTTGTACCAATTGTGTACTTTCTGCCATAGCTTTAATTTTCTAGATGTGATGTTCATTACGTCTGGATCTAGGATATTAATTAATGATCGATCGATGAAAAAATGAGCTGGAGTTGATCTTAGTGCACTAACTCCAGCTAATACAACAATTTTGGGAACGTTGGCGAAATGAATACCAGTTGTGTTTATTGTTTCGGTCGGTAAAAATGAAGTTATTTTTGGTAAAGTTAAATAATCAAGTTGGCTAATGTATTTAGTTTTTCGTGACTAAATTAATGTTGTTATAGAGTAAAATGATTTAATTTTAGAATTATCTACACCAGATATATTAAAACTTACTCTTTTTCGTGGTGATTTTAACCTTTGCGCTAAATCGGTGGTTATATAATTAGATTGAGAGCCTGAATCAAGCAGTGCTCTTGTAATGAATGATTCATTTTAATGACTTTTAATTTTTATCACTGCCGTTGACAACAAAACTTGTTTTTGTTCTGTACAAGTCACATGTGTACTTATAACTTGTTCATCACTCTGTTCTTCGGGTATGTGGAGTAATGTATTATGTACTTCTCCAAATTTCCTGCAATCTGAAAATTTACATAATTGGTTTTCTGAATGATGAGCCAAACATACATTACAAATGTTCAATTGAGTAACCTTTGATGACGTTCTTTTATTGTTAAGTCTAAAAATTTTTTGTAATGATATATAGCATGTGTTGTTTTATTACATAAGTAATATTTAAATTTTTTTGAAGTCGCATGCATTGCGATCCTATTTCGATAATCAAATCGTTTCTTTTCTTTTTTTTGATTGTCACCGCATTCATTTAACCTTTTTGCGCCTTCAACTGCTTCTAAAAGTTGACAGTGATTATTTAAAAATTCAATTATATCTTTGACTTCTGAAACTTCAATTTTTGGTGCTTGCTTTTCCCAATCTCGCAATGTATGCAGTTTTTAGAAGCAGTTGAAGGTGCAAAAAGTTAAATGAATGCATTGACAATTAAAAAAAAGAAAAGAAAAGATTTGTTAAAATTAAAATTAACCCTAATACAGTGATAAATAATTACTTATAATTCAATGTTTATATATTCGTCCCGGAAAGACAATTGTCCTCGTAGCATAGCATAACACACTACAATCGCAGCCCACGCAACAACTCAGGTGATGAGTAAGCATAACTGCCACAAAACGTTGAACTTTCTATTATTTGATTATTTGAATCCAACATCTTGTTCCTTGCTAAGCCGAAATCCACTAACTTCAAATTCGTAAAAAATTATAATAATAAATTATAAATATCAATTTCGTACTACGTTGAATTGCTTTAATATATATTTATTCATATATTATACTGATAAATTAACTACAAATTAGGAATAATGATAGAAATAGGAGTTGATTTTGCTTTTAGAATAGTCAACCAATTTCTTAAAATTAAAAAATATCTACAGATATGTATCGAATTGTTTTTATGTTAGTGATTTTAATCACTGTTATATATCATTTATACCGGACCCAACTATACTAATTCACCACTGTGCTGGATTTTTTTTTAAGTAATTATTTTTTTGTAAAACAAGTCGATTATTTTCTCTAACAACGAATTTGTGTTTATGTTTAAGTTATTTCATAATTGAAATATTTATTTAAATATATATAGATATGGATATAAGATATTTATATGCGTCCATTGACATGTTAAAAATAGCTAATTGTTGTATAAATGAAGATTACATACCAATTTTGTACGATTCATTAATTCGTTTACAGAGTGAAAATCAATTCATTGCTGTGTACTTATGGGGTCGTTTAAAAACATTGTCAGATGATTACTTTATAGCGTATGGCCATTACTCAAATTTAGTTGATGAGAAAACTTTTTTCTACAGGTTTGTCTATACTTATTGTCTTTTCTCAAAACTATTTGATGACTAATGGCACCTCAGTTCAATAATGGTGCTATGTTTTGTCAGGCTTTGATCAATTTATAAACGAAGTAACCCAAACTAATCTATTAATTAACAAATGATCTATTTTTAACAAATCGTTTTTTTAATGGGGGGTCCTAGAACTGTGGAATCTTGGTTATATGTCCTACTAATATAGACTTAAATCCGACTTAGTTAAGGTCAGCCATTATTATAGAACGTTTTTGATACTTGATAAATATGAATAAATGTTTTCTAACATATGTTTTCAATTTTTTAATTTCTATTAAATATTCCGTATATAATTATAGCATGATTAAGTTTTTAAAATAATAAATTTGAATGATAAAATCTAAAAATGTACACATTAATACACATCTACTCTTTAAATCTTTATTGTAAATATTCACTAATTAATGACCAAGCAGCTTATATTATTTTAAGTTCAATAAAAAGTATATATTAAGGTGGTCTAAAAGTGACAAAAAAAAACATTTTTTTTTAAGTTATACTCCTACACTTGAAAATTGTTCTACCTGGTTTCATATACAATTCTCAAGAAAAAAAGTCAAGCTATATTATATAAATAATTTTTAACATTTCTAATTTTACTTACTAAAGAATTAAAAAATTATATAAAAGTTGAATTGATTTTTTTTTTAAGTGTGTTTGCTGCAATCAGGGTAAATCTTCTGATGCTTAGAAACTACTTGTAAGAGAAACTGAAGTTGGTCCTCATCATGGGTAATACTGGAAGACGGTCGACATTTTGTAAATGAGTGAGTTCCAACATAAGTTTTCCATCCCAGTGAACTGTTAATTTGCTGTTTATTGTAAATGATTCTTTAATAAAATTAGCCATTTTTTGCCTTAATTTCTTACGATGCAGTTTTATCGTACTTTGACTACATGCAAACGTATCAATATTCTCTCCAAGACTTTTTAGTGTAGCTCCAATGATAAAGGTGGCTTGCCGATCATTGACCTTAGTTCTATCTAGCATAGCTGATAATTCTGATGTGATCAAAGGTTTCAATTTCTTTTTACTTTATTTGATTTTTTTTCATTGACAATAAAATCATCGTCGGAATTAGTATTATCACTAAAATGGTTTTCTTCTGTACTTAATGATGTAAAATCATAAAAATGACTCAAATTTTGATTAGTAATTTTTTCTTTATAGAGTTGTTGTTTTTCTTTTCGTTTATCTTTACGATTTTCTTTTTGCGTGGTAAAAACGTCCACTGTAGACATAAAAACTCTTCTCCCTAGCATCCGTTGTGCCAGTAAAAACTGTCTATCTTCATCAATTTTTAATTTTTTTAAAGCATCAGTATCAGCGATATCAAAGAGATTGGCCAATTTTATATGAAACTCACATTCGTGTTGTCGGTGAAGCTCTGTTTTTCTATTTTTATGTTTGAAAAGATTTAGCCATTGATTATAAAGTTTTTTAAACTTTTTTAAAGCAATATCTTTTCGAGTTGTCGGCATTCTTGCTTTATTCCAAACAAATGTAACTTCTTCGATTACTTTATTGCATGCATATTTAAACGAATTTTTTTCAATGCATTAAATATGAAAGAAAAACTCTAATACTTCATTATTAGACGGCAAACGATTACCTGGTACAGTTGAAATAGGCTGACCAATTAAATAAATATAAGTATTACTTCACGTTGTCATTTTTATTTTTACTGAATAAATATATATATAATTAAATTAGCACTGATTCACATTTAAAGCACACTGACAATTAACATTTAGAGAGACACGAACATCAAAACAGCGCACTGTCAACTAAAATATAATTCTACATTGATAATAGACGTACGTCAACCTTTAATACATAGTCATAGTATAATAAGTTATACACTGAACAATACATAGGAATAACCCTGTCAAAGGTGTAGATAAAATGTTTTATTTATTGATATAGTAATAATACAGTCGTATAAGAAAATATTTCAATTGCGATAATACTAATACTTATAAGTATAGCATAGGAAAAATACCGTAGGTTATTCTGTACGATAAAAACTTTAAATTGATTGGGATGGCTCAAAAATAATTTTTTTTTATAAGTATAAATGTAGAAACTATTTTTAAACTCTAGAAAACAAATTTAGATGGTAGGAGGACAAAATTTTATTAAGTAATTTTTTTAGACCACCCTAGTATATATGTATAAAATATTATCAAGGTAATTTTATAATAATAATATAATCAATAACTTGAAACAAAAATAATTTAAAGATATTATTCTGGTATTCTTAAAACATAAATGTTTGACTTAGTGATTATTATTTATTTTTTAGTTTCAGTTCTTATGATTTAAAAATGTATCAATTTTTTATAATAATATAATTCATATTCAATGAGCTTACTTAGAAATTGTTATTATGAGATATATTATGTCATCAAAACTTATAAATTATTTTTTTCTCAAAAATATTTTTATTTTTCAAGTAGTACATATAATAGAATTACTCTATATATAAATCTATGTATGTTTTTTAGCTACACATCGAAGCATTAACTAAAACTAAGTTTTATTCTTTTTTTACATTTTTTATTAATAGAAATAGTTAAAACTTTTCATAATAATATTTGATAAAGTTTTTATCTATCACTAGCCAAGATATCGTCGAATGGATTTTAATGCCAACGGTTTGGCCATCTTACGGAGAAGAAATGGTAGAAACAATGAAAGATCAGTTTGAGGGGGATCCCAAGCATGTACAAACAAACAAACCTATTAATAAACATTCAAGTCAAACATTGTTAGATCAACACGCTTCATCGTCAAAAGTATCTTTAGAAATGTACGCTGAAGGAGCATCTGGCAACGACGAACAATCCATTAAAGACGAACAAGTTCGGAATAAAGATGTACGTGTCAGCGATGTCATATCCATGGACGAAATGGATGAAGAAATTTTTACCGTATAATATTTAACTAATACATTTTTAATCCAAATAATAAGTTCATATTATGAGTACTTTAGTACTTTATATAGAGTGTGTAGTAAGTAAGGAAACAGGTAAATTGTTATAAACAATGAGAACAATAGAAACCCGTTATCTTGCTTAATGAACACTATATAGATAGGAATGGGGCATTAGTGATATTTTTGGAAAGTTTTATTACGCTTCCTTTAAACATATTTTTATAAAACAATACAAAATATTTTCCTAAATTTATGGGAAACTTGAATAAACGCTTGAGGGTATCCACCTTTTATACTTATGTGAGGAGTTAAAATAAATTATTATTATTAGAATCCTAAAGATTCGTACGCCTAAAGCAAAATTATCAGAGGATTCTACACAATTTATTTCTCATCTTTTTTTAATAAATTCTAGTGTCACTGCAAATAAACATAATAAATTTAAATCACAGATTTAAAGTCCCAAAACGACCTTGACTTCACCTAAGATAAAAGACATCTTTGATCATTTTCTTGGTGTGTAATAGACCTTAAATGCAGAAGACGAATCAAGAATTGAAAAAATATTAGTAGAGGAAGATAGGTTAGCTATAATAATAACCATGATAGACAACGAAGTTCATATAGTACCAAGAGGTTACTTGTACAAACTTTCCGATGGAAGAGTAGTCAAAGCACCGTATTTTAAGGGTATCTACGCTACTTAAAAATTATTATAAATAGATTTAATTAATTATACAAATCAAATATTATTTATTAAAGGTTTAGATTATTCTGAAATCTGTGATCTAAGAAACTTCCTACATCTCAAGTCTACTTTGTCTGTACCTAAATCAACCAATGAAAACAATGACAAACCACGATGTGATTATAACGCAGCAGTAGACTTTTTGGAACCCATTGATAAAGATATTCCAATAGGTAAAATAAACACAAATCTAGACTGTAATCTACATTTTATATAATTTTTGTCTAATAACTCATGGCATATTTTGTATTAAAGGTTGCTGGGCAGCACAAACAGTGTTCAATAGATATTTTGTATTAAATAATCTTTTATGGCCAGGAGCTGTATTTTTTCAAGATATGAATACAAGTATACATGGATTTTTTTATAATGGAAATGGAATAAAAAATTTAGACTTACCATTTATGTTACCATGTTAAATCATAAAGAGTATTTGTTTAAATATCACTCATTTTAATTTAAATATAATAATTTTTAAAGATATATTTTTCAAAAAATTAATATAAAGAAGGGAGTTTACGTCTACCTCTAAGAGTATAGTTCTGACAGTAAGTTGTCGATTACAAAAGTAGTTAACGTTTTTTTTTAAAAGTTTAAATAGTCTTTACATCAACAAATAAAAATGAGTTCTGATAAAAAAGTCAACTAAATTGCTGAGTATATTCGTTTTGAATATCCCCAATTAGGTTATTCCAAAGTAACAATTAAACATAATTAGGTAGTCAATATTTATGAAAAAAATGATAAAAATCCAAATTACTTAAAACGGTAGCACAGTGTGAACATTGCATAGTTAGAACAAGTATAGATGAAACTGACAGTAATTAAAATGACTATCATAAGAAATACTTTGATGAAAATCTGTAGATAGTGTTTAATTTTAAGAAATTGGTAGATTATTCTAAAATAAAAATTAACTCCAATTTCCTAATTTATACCCTGATTACATGTTTTATATAAGTATAATATATGAATAATTATTCAATAAATTTGTTCAATTTTAACGGTGATTTGCACATAAAAGATAGGTCGTCGAAACAAAATTTTTTTTAACTTATACTACGGAACATTCTCAAAAGTTAAGTTGATTTTTGTGAAAAAGTTGCTATTTTAAATTCCCCCTTCCCACATAGTAATTTCGATATATTAACATTGTCAAAATATTCTTACAAAATACTTTTTAAAATATTTTGAAGCAAATCTTTCTTTATGGTTTCAATCCGTAGATTGGTTTGTAGCCATCTTCCATATTTCTCTATTATACACTTTCCTTTTCATTTCTACATATGAGTTGCATCCTTGGTTTTTTATTATCTGTTGTATATATTCTAATCTTGGTCTTCTTCTATAGTTCTTCTCCTCTACGCTTCCTTCTATAATCAGTTTTAACAATCCTTTGTGCCGCATTATGTGGCCCATCCATTCATTTTGTCTCCTAACTATATTATTCCATAATAACTTCTTTCCTTCTGTTATTATTTTCAGTACCTCTACATTGGTTATTTTGTCCATCCAACTTATTCTTAACATTCTTCTATAGCACCACATTTCAAACGACTCTAGCCTTTTTTGTTCTTGTGTTGATATTGTCCAGGTTTCACATCCATAAAGGGCTATACTACATACATATGTTTTCAAAAATTTCTTTCTTGTTTTTAAGCTAATGTTTCTTGATGTAAGTAGGTTTTTCTTGTTGTTAAAGGCTATATTAGCATGACAAATGCATTTTATTATTTCACTCCTATTTCTCTCATCATTGAAAATTGCGTTCCCCAGGTATGTAAATTCTTCTACTTGTTTTACTGTTTGGTTTCTTCGTAGTTTTATATGTACTTTGGTTTTATTTTCCCTTCCATAGACGAGTACTCTTGTTTTTTGAACGTTTATTTTCATACGCAAATTCCTAATGAATATTTCATCCATAGTTGATCTAAATCTTCCTCATTTTCAGCAATTAAGGCTATGTCATTGGTGAAGCGCAAAATACTTATCTTCTGACCGTTGATCTTTATCCCTAGATTGGTATCTTCTTTTATCATATCTATTGCTTGTTGAATATATGCCTTGAATATAATTTGAGATAGCGTGCATCCTTGTCTAACTTCTTTATTTATTTTTGATTCTTCTACTTTATCTTGAATTTTTGCAACAGCTACTTCATCTTTATATAATTTATACAGCAGTTTCCTATCATCGTGTTTTATTCCCATTCTTGTCTTCATGTTAAACATTAACGTCACATCATCAAATGCTTTTTCAATATCCACAAAAGTTATGAATCTTTGTTTATCTTTCCTAATCCCTTTCTGAATAATTATTCTCAATACCAAAATTGCTACTTTTGTTTTCATATTTTTCCTGAACACGAATTTGTCCTCCGTTAGCAATTGTTCTATTTTGGATTCAATACGTTGGAATATAATAATTGTTAATATTTTAGAGGCATAGGATAGCAGGCTAATTATAAGGAATTCTCTAAGGGCTTAAAGCAGAACCTTGGTGCACCCCTACTCTTACCCGAAAAAAGAAAATGGTCCAATTTTAAAAAAAGTATAACAATTAAAAGAAGTAAACATTAATTATTTATGAAAAAATATTGTATTGATCTGTAGGGATTAACAAAGATGTTAAATAACATGTCACAATGAAACACTACAGATCCATACATTTTTCAAAAAGTTATAGTAATTTAAAGTTAAAAAAATTAAATATAAAATCGTAAATTTTAACACCAAAATTGCATGTTTTATAACTACAACAACCATTTGCCACATATACACAAAATTCATTAACTTTAAGAACCCGTAAAAATGCAAAATACTAGAGAATTCGTAAAAGTTCAAAAAATTTGAGAAGTCATTGAAATATGTAAACAAAAACATATGTTTTTGTTTATTTCAGTATACGCTGTTTTTATATTTTAACAATTTTTAAAATTGTAAATGGCAGTATATATAGGTACCGGTCATTGAGTGTGTGTATACGCCACAAGCACAAATGAATCGGTTTTTTCAAAAAGGCCATATCTCCATAAAATTTTATTTTTCAGAAAACGTAAAAAACTGTTTTTAAAGATCAAAATAAATTCTGATTAAAATTGAATAAGGGTTGAATTATTGAATTCCCTTATAAAAAACCAACTATAGTGTAATATTGACTATTTATACCTATTTGATTATTTTATGAGGAAATGAACGTGTTTGAGATATGGCTTTTTCCAATGGATTGTAAATTTTCATTGATTATGACCTCGCGACTCTGATCAATTGTTTATTGTATATCGTATAAAATTAAATAATTAGTCTTACAAAATATACTGTGCAATCTTTGTAATAATTTTATTTATAAACTTCAAAATCACTTCTTTTTAGTTAATTTATTAAACAAATTATATAGTTTACTTTTTGATAACTATTTATATGTAAAATAACAATAAAAACAATTTTTATATAAACTTTTTAGTTTGAAAAAAAAAAAAAAATATAGTTTACTTTTTAACTACCAAATATGTAAAAAAACAAATTTTTCACATATTTTCTTGAAAATCTTCTTCAGGGATTTCATCTTCGTTTGTTGTTGACCATTTAAAAATGTCGTTCTAAAAATCTTTCTTTTCTTCTGGTATGTATTGAATTAATTAAAATCTTAACAAATAAAATTGCTGATCAAGTTATTTTTGGAGAAATTGCCTTTTAGAATGCTCTCGTTATTTTTAGACTATAACGAGTTGTTGGAGATAAGACGATTTCGCAGAAAATATGCATTATTATTACATAAACACATCTATCACATAAAAGTAGTTTTGAAAAAATGTGAAGAAATGGCCTTTTCAAAATGACCGATTCAAATGTAATAAGCGTGCAGTCCTGCGATTGTACATTTAATAAAAATCAAATACAATAATATGATATAAAAAATACCAACTGTTAACAAAATGTATACATATTCTTAAATCTTTTTTTCAAGAGCTGATCTCCATACCCCAAGCCTGTGATTAATTCCCTTCCTATATTCTTTTATTAGCACTATATTGTCAGCAAGCGACATGCACCATGGCTCCTCTTTTGTATTTCTCTAGTAATATCATCCACCACTATAGAAAATAAGTAGTAAAGCTGATCCTTGGTTAATTCCTACTCTTACCCTAAAACCTTCTGTTACTCCTCCCACACTTCTTACACTTATATCTTCTATTATATTAATGTACCTTTTAGGGACTCATTTTTTCATTAATACCTACTTTAAAACCTCTTTCGGTACTCTGTTATACGCTTTCTCCAAATCTATAAATACCATACACAGTTTTTTCTTCTTTTCCCTAAACTTTTTTATTAGTTGCCTCACACGAAATAATGACTTCATTGTTGACTTACCAGGTGTAAATCCAAACTAGTTTTTAGATACCGATGTCTCATTTCTTATTCTCTTATATATTAGCATGGCACGGCACCTCGTTTCGCTCTAGACTGGAGCTGACCCGCGTCTCTTTCGATATCAGCCTTCTACCTATTAATATGACAATCGGTTGTCATCGGGTGTCTCCCCGCCCTTGACACAGTGACAAGGCCGCTGCCGACAATGTATTACTGATGATGCGTTCTGTTCCGTTTCGGCGTACACCTTAAGTAGTTACTCCGTTTTCGTCTTAGTTTTTTGTTCTCATAAAATTATACTTTATCTATAGACTTATATAACTAATTGTTCGCATTATTACGGTTGTGTTCTTTTTGTTTCTGTCGTAAATCTATAGTTATATATATATATATATATATATATAGAATGGAACTGATCTAACTGACAACTCATATAACTTATGATCTACATAACATTTTATACTTTTTTTTTTAATTAATTTTTACAATATAGAACTATATTTGAAATATGTTTTATCAACGTTCCTCTTGAGAAAATCTTCAATTTTCAACTCCACTTCAGTTACATTCGCATTATTCCGCATTTGTCAGAAAAAGTAGATGAACATAAATGACAATTAAATCGTATACCATCATGGATTTTTCTATGCCTCGTTTTTGGCGACATATACTTTTTCACAATTGTCACAAGAAAAATTTTTTAAGACGTTTAACTGACACAGCACTATTAATTTTACTCAAGCAACAATCCGTCTTTTATGCGAAAACACTCATTTGTGCGGAAAAATCACATATTTTCATAAGGGAGTCAACAAATCACAGATCACATATCCCCGTAGACTAACCCGTTCCTTCACAACTTAAAATTTTTTAACTCTTAATTACTTATTAATTACAATTTAAAAAGTAATTTCTAAAAAGTATTCATTTTTTCATAGTATATGCCCCCTTCCTATGTGATCGTGTACCCCCATATGGTAACTCTTGGTAATATATTACTCTTAACCCCCCATACTTGTGATATCCACTGTCAAGAGAGAGAGGAGAGCCC